AATGCATTTTCCCAGTTTATCCTGATGGTAATTCATGAAAAATTACTCAAAGAAAAAACTGTGGTAAATAGCAGAACTTATCACTTATTGAATTATGCGTTTACTGTATAAACATTTCTGTACAAACTATGGCTGAGTGCAAAAATAAAAAATAAAAGAGATTCAAGGTTTTCCCCTATATTTCATTGTACTCATTGCATAATCAAAATTTGACCTCTTGCTTATTGTTTTTTGCTGTTATTTTTAGCAGGCGTCGGTTTGAATAATGCTTTTTGTGATAAATTTGGGTTTTTTGCCAAATAAATTGGTGGGAAATAATGTGCAGTGTATATTGGAAAAGGTTGATGAGTGGGGCTCGAGGGCAGTGAGGAAATTATGGCCTCCTAATATATAGCCCTAATTATTTCCTCAATGCTGATGCAAGTGATTTCCTTTCTGAATTATTTCTACACTGCACATTGGTTAAAAAAAAGTTATTTTAGCAAAAGTGGAAATAATTGCAAGCAAAATTCGACTGCAATGCATTAAAAACACAGAAGCGCCAATGAATCATCATTGAAAAATTGGATAATCTCTTTTCTCCGATAATCAAATTTTATTTATTACATACATGATCAAAACAACAGGGTTAAAATTATTACTCAAGGTTTTGAAGAGTGGCTGTAGCAGGTTGACCTAGTATGAGCAGGAAAATAATTTAAATACATTTCAGTTTTAGTCAAATCTTTGCATAATCTCCTCCAATAAAATTTAAAATTGAATTACTGTACTGTACTTCCCTCCAAAAACACTGCAATCTGTTAAACCCTGGTCTTGGCAATATTAAAAGGATGAAATTCAAATGCATGAAGTAGATTCTGCAAAAATTAGTTCGAGAATTAGAAGATAGCAAGAAGGACTGGTATTAATATAAAAAAAATTGAAGTAATATTGTGTTTTGTCAAAAGTGAAATAAACTCAAATCTTATATGCTTAAAAAGAATGAAATCCTCAAAATGGCAAAATGTTTGGGGGGTGGAGAAAAATGCTTTGAACTTTGTGAATGCTGACAAGCAGAAAATAAAGCTTATTCATCAATGAATCAATCAAGATGGCTGTAATGGACAAGAACAATGATGGCATTGATCTCTTCATTCAAATCCAAATGTTATGTGTATGTGCTTTGGACTTCGTTAGATGGAAATTTTCCATAAAAAGGGTCTAACAAAAGCTCTTGGAATATAAATTGAAATGGAATATCAATTCCTGCTGAAAAACAATTAATCTTTAGGGATAACATATTCTTTGGCACAAGAAAATAATCAGCCCTGTTTGACACATTTTTTTGAATGTTTTGCAAGGCCGCCTTCACAGCTGCCACATTCCCATCCTGATTGGAAGCTGTGAAGGTGGCTGTTGATGAAAATGGTGGAATTACCTTGGAAGACCCAGAGGAAACCCTTGGAATTAATGCCACATTGATTTCAAGAATTCTGAGGGGAAAGTTGGGCTACAACAACAAAATCTGCAGGAAGGGTGCCGCATCTTTTGAGTGCTGGACAGTAGTGTAAGGGACCGCCACGCGCACGCGAACGTCGTGTACAAAATCAACCAGTTTTGCTTAAAAATAAAACTAATAATAACTTCGCGAAAAAACTATAAATAAAACAGGAAATCAAGAACAAGAATTCATCAATGGGAAATACTGCGCAATTTCCCATTGTGCAATCTTTTTCTTCGTCAGCAAATTCCGCGTAACGATCGAGACAGTCTTCGCAAGCCTCTGGTCGCGATTGGATGCTTTTTCTGTGTGAATTCGGGTTGAATTTTGTCTGTTTAAACCAATTGTTTGAATCTCGATTGCTAATTTAAATCATTTTGAGTTCTCATTCCGAAATATAATATCAGTTTTAACGTTGGGGCTTTTACCGAAAAGCCCCCTGCCGTGTTCCTGGCGGATTGTGTGTTTTTCTTCAATTCTCTTAGCATCTCTTTTTGATCTTTGTGATTTATCCATCACAAAAGTGGTAGCAGAGCAGTAAAATTAAAAGAGTAACGATCAAACGGTAAAAATAATATATATATCTCTAACACTAAAAAGTGCAAAAAAACTAAAAAGGGAGTATGGCACCCCCGAAAAGAGGAAGACCCTCAAGTAGGGGGGCTGGAAGACCCTCCGTCAGAGGAATTGGACAACCTACGACAAGAGCGGCATCCGCACGCGCAAGCACTGCGACCAACGAAAACCCGCAAGGGGTGAGTCCTAACAATTCAAATATCTACGTTGAAGAAATAGAAAACGAGCAAAATGAAGAACTCAATTGTGGGAAAAACAAGTGCTGAATCCGTTTTTATGAAGAGGCAAGGCTTTGTGCAAAAAAAAAAAGAAAAAAAGAAAATGGAAAAATGCCTCCTAAAATGAAGAACATCTGAGGTTTTCAGCAGAAGCTTGCCAACTTCCAGATGCGCTTGCAAGTCCGTTAATTCTTCCATCACTTCCCGGAGGAATAAACCCGAAGGAATAAAAAAAATTCCAAATGTTTAGTTGCTCCTCTCCAGTCCTCAATTAGGCATAGCTATTTTTTCCCATGGAAGTGCATTATTTTATTTGATCATATGTTTGAAGAAGAAATTTTTAAATTTGTGTGGAGCTGAAGAACCTCAGAAGCTGTCGTATCATGAAACCCTGACGTAAGTCGGGGGTTTTTTTAAATATAAAAAACCGTTGTAAGTTGAATCTGACGTAACATGGGCCCGTCGTAAGTCGGGGGCCCACTGTAATTGTTTTTTAGCTCAATTGTATGCCATTTCAACTTGTATTTCCAGAACTTTTGTTAGACCACTTGTACATGCAGACATTCCCTAAGATGTTCAGATTCAGGTTTGAAATGCAGTGATTTCGTAGTGTTTTTGTGAAACTCTGGCTATATGTGGATAACCAGTAAATGTAGTCATTACCTCTGATGTTGTGGCCCCAAGATGGCGCCACATGCAATGGTATATCAAAGCAACTTTCCTTGCTCATGGTTACTTGCAGATAACCAGTTCATGAGTGGAATGTGGCGCATCATGCCCCACCCAAGCACCTGTTTCACATAAACAATAATTGTTTAACACAAATGGCAAAACCAGTGAAATTCCTAGGATATCTGATGACCTCTTTGCAATTTATTCATGGAGAAACCTATATGGTTGCCAGCCTGAATGGTATAGCCAAACTGAGAAGGATAATGTTCATTTTCTGACAGGAGAAAAGCATCTGTAGAAATAAATTGCAAAGGTTAACTAAAAGTTTTCTCCGAATTTGTGCCTTTTTGAAAGTTTTCTGTGAATCATCATGGTCAGTTCCTGTCATGGCACATTTATTGCAGTCACATCAGTAATTGTCAGTTGCACTTAATACTTCCCATGCAATTCCTAAATCTTCAGTGAGAATTACCAAAACTTGAAAAATTAGTATCCAGGTATGTGCAATTTGGATATCTTTGCTACCAAATATATATTATGGGATCTCAAGCATAGGAAATTATTTTCCATAATCTCTACTGATGCTGTTGGGGACTGTGGCATTAGGCAATAATTTCATGTACTGTAATACACTAATAATCCTCCTGAATCTCATCCTGCAAAAACCAGTGCTTTGTTCCTTGGCCTCAGAACCAAAGAACATGTCCCAAAGGACTGGTACAACAATGTACAGCTTCTTTTTTTACTTCAAGTAGAACAACTTTCATCTTCCTTCTTCCTAAAAAAAAAAAGAATCCATTCCACTGCCAATTTTTGAAGTGCACAGAGCAAAAAACTGTGCATCCAATCTTGAAAACCTTGTCTGAATTTATACTTGTGTTGGGTGAAAGTATTTGTGCAGGAGTTCCAAAATTCTCTGATTTTAATAACTTTTTGTTGGGGCAAAAGTAAACCTAATTCTTTTTGGAGCCTCTGTAAAGGGTTCCCAGCCCATCCCAAGCTGATTGTTGTGTTCAACTTGATTTTATGCATTGGGCTGCTATCACATTGGATTTTATTGGATTGCCAGAGCTGTGAGGAATAAAAACTCTGCAGTCTGGGCCTATGATGTCAGAAGCACACTTATGATCCAACAAGTGCAGATCTAGATCCAACTGATTTGCCTCCTATATGCAGCTAACCAGAAGCAAGGAGGAGGGAGAAAGGAGACATCAAATCTCAAGCTTTAGTGGCAGAAAGAACAATTATTCAGGCTGGATTTATTGCTGAGGGAGGATCTCTAGTTTGGAGCTTTGTTTGCTGTGCTGATTTACTTGTGACCTGTATTTTTTTGAGACTGTGCTCTAAAATTTTATTCTTTGGATCTTCCCTTCTAATTTTTTTGCTTTACTCCAATCTCAGTTTAGATGCTAGTCAGCTGATACCTGTACCCTGTTCTGTGAAATTTTTCTATGTTGATGATGAGACCTGTGATGAGCCAGGGATAGGCAAAATGTTTTCCAAACAAAGAGTTGAGTATTTCTGCATTTTTCCCACTCTGAGGCTCAAATTACCCAAAATTCTTGGCTGAGCTAATCATTCTATTTAAAAATTTAATGCTTTGCCAGTTCCAGCCCCTGACATCCTAATCATTTTCCTTGCTAAGGCACCTGGAACATGAAAAAAAGTTTTAAAATGCTGTGAGATTTGAAAAAAATAAACTTTTGTTGTTGTTGAGTCATGATGACTGTTTCCCATTGTGAATTGGGAAAAATTCAAGAGCTTCACAGTGTGACTTTTTTTTTAAAAGCAAGGTTTCATCTATTCAATGAGTAAAGTTCTGACTCCTCTCACTTTTCTAACCTCTTCAAATCAGTACTTGTTAATGCCTGATATGCAACTTGGAAAATCATGAGTGATGTAATAATTTTCTTTTGGAACCTGTGATGAAACATGACATTCTTCATTCATTGAAAAAAGAACATGATTATTATTTATAGCGATTTTTGGAAAATTCCCTAATAGTCGTAATGGAAAAAGAAAAATTCTGCAGAAAAATGAAGAAAACCACATGATTCGTTTTTTTAGCTTTGCAGCAGAGCCAGAAAAGAAGCTGATTCTTTCTTTATTGATCCACCAGCAATAAGGTCCCAAAAAAAATGCCTCGAAGGATTTGTCAAAGGGATAAAAATCTCACTATTGAAAGACAATATTTCTCCCCATCATGAAACCAGCATTAATCTCGGTTCGACAAAAGCTCCCGAAAAAAAAGTTGTTTCAATCTTCTTCTTTTTTTTGTACGCGAACGCCATTTTTCTTCTTCTTCTCGTGATGATGAAATTTTTCTTCTTCTTCTTCTTGCAGATATAGTCCGGGATCGGTTTCGGTCTCGAGATCAACGCTGCTGTTTGGACGACGTTTTTCCGGGCGTGTTTATTTTTTTGGCAGCAACAGTTTCCCCTTTTCCGTGTGTGTGTGTGTGTGTGTTTAGGTTTTTCTCCTAATAGTAGCGGTAGCCACCGTAGAAGGGAGTGTAGGCCGGGTAGGAGGAGTAGGTCTTGTAGCCGTAGGCAGGGTAGGAGTAGGCGCTGGCGTAGGTCGGGTAGGCGGCGTATCCGTAGGATCGGGCCAGGCCGTAGGGGGAGTAGAGGAACTGCTCGTCAGCCTGTTGGTCCACTTCTTCCTTGTTGGGGGCAGCGGTGGCGACGTAGGCCAGGCAGAGGACAACCAAAAGTGCCTGCATTGGTATATAGGGGAAAACATTGTTGTTTAATTCAGTGAATTCTTGATACAATGCCGTATTTATGAATTTCGAAAGAAATTTCAAAAGGGTTCCCTTAAAGAATAAATTTTTATTGCAAAGAAGGAAGGAAAATATTTGAAATACTGTACAATCAATTCTTGTTATAATGTAATATTATTTACTGTACTTTGAAAAGTGCCAATAAAAAGGTTTTCTTGAAGAATACATTTGATTGGGGTGAGGATGAATATATTTGAGATGCAGTGAATTCTTGATACAATGCAGTATTTATGAACAAAAAATTGTCTAAAGGGTTCCCATAAAGAGTAAATTTTTATTGTGGTGAAGGAAGGAACATCTTTGAAATACCATCAATTCATGTTATAATGTAATATTATTCACTTTACTTCAAAAAGGGCCACAAAGGTTTTGTTGAAGAATGAATTGCAATGGGGTGAAAAACATAAAGATATACAGTACCTAAAAATATGCCTTGAATTATAAGATTTTTCCTATTTTACATTCAGGGCAGAACATTTTTTCCAGCACTAAGTGAGTTGTCAGTAAATTTGTGCTTTCATTATAAGAACACATTGGAGGGAGATTTGTTCCCATTAGAAATTTGTGGCACTATTTCAGGGTAGCAATCAGAGCAAGGGCACTTAATCAAGGGCCAACTGTAATGATTATAAGAAAAGTGCTAGGTTTGCTTGGAAAATATATTTGACTGGGGTGAGGAAGGAAAACATTTGAGATGCAGTGAGTTTTTTAAAAAAAATGCAGAATTAATAAAAAAGAGTCAAACAGGTTTGCTTCAAGAAATCTTTTTTATGTAAAAAGCCTTGAATAAATTCATGGCTTCTACTATATACAAGGGGGTCTCAAAAATAATTTTTTTCACTTACACTGTTGTTAAACGATTTTTTTTTATTTTCATCACAGAACTAAAGATTTATGAACATTGCAAATATTATTTTAAAGTCATCCCAGCAAAATATTCAAAACCCAGTGAATCTTTGTTAATATGCAGCACTGATTAAGATGTGCCAACCATCTTCGCTCTCTCATTCCAGACAATTTGTTATGCATTTAAACCATACTGGATTACTGGCAGTGAATTACTGCAGAGGATGAACAAATAAGTGAACTGATTTCTGACTTTAAACAGCTTGGTTGCAAGTTGAGCTTTGAAAATTGAAAAAACACCAAATGGAAGCTTCTTCAATCCTCTTTCAAATGGCACGTAATTTTGTGGTCCCAAGTGCCATGGCATGGTCACAAGAACCATTTGAGTAAAATGCTCTCTAAACAAAATTTAAAGGAACTTGTTTTCCAGAGCTGTTTTTAGGGATAAATAATGTGGTGTATGACCTATAATTTAACCAGGAAACTTCATGCTGCCTTCAAGAAGATGCTCACATTTCAAAAATGTAAAAGATGGGGTTGAGAAGTGCAAAAATGTTTAGCAGTGGAATGATGCTGCTCTCCCTAATCCAGACGCAAGCTTGCTGGGGTTTGTTCAAAATCAGTTCCACTCAATAATGATTAGGGTCAGTCAAAACATTCATCATCACTGGTCAATTTTCAATAAGTTCCCATTCTTGATCATCACAAGCAGAAGACATCATTTAAACTTATGTTTTAAATGACGAATGTTTAAGTATAAGTGGTAAAACTTATGTGTAGGTGGACTGGTAATACTAATTACTCACTTCGGTTCAACCTCAATAAGTGTTTTAATTATACGAAAAATACATAGTTTCAGCTAAATTCAACTGTGATAAGCTTTGGATATCCACCCAACTCAAATTTTTGCTGAACTTAAAATTTTTGTCCAATTACTTATTTGATGAGGTTTTCCAAGTGATGATGCACATAATGATAGAATACTTATGAAAGTATGCATTTCTGTTGAGATATAAAAAACTCTTTAAACATTGCTTCAATAGAGTGACAGTTGACTTTCAACTTGAATTCAAAGCGTTCTGACAATTTTTGAATACATTCAAAGAAAACTTTGGAGAACAAAGAAACTGTTCCACTATATACATGGATCACATACTGTACTTCAAATTAATTCAAAATTGTCCTTACTATAGATTCATCAATTGAAACATTCTGATAAAGATGCAGATGCTGATCAAGAAAAGAAAAAAACTCTTTTTTTTATTCTGACAGGAATGTTTTTCTGATGATTTTAAATTTCCAAACTATTTCATGAATGAATTTCTTGGACTGATAAAGCGCTATTTAAAATTTTTAAATATTCAAGAACATATTTTTTGAAAAACTGGAGAAGGTGGTGATTTTTTACAGTATTTAAAATTTTATAAGTTAAAATAAGATTTTTCCAATTACAGGTGGATTGTCTCATCTATGCAGCAATATTCAAGAGACCAGAAAAAAATCGTTACAGAGTGAAATTCTTTGGAAAGAACCCCAAGATTAAAATAATCGTTATACAGAGAAAATCATTGTAGACACATCAAGTTTGTTCTATAGAGACATAGATGCCTCATATGCATTAAATTTAACCCCCTTTAATAATTCATGCGTCATCATTCCACACAAAAAAATGGCTGGAATAAAAAAAAAATTCGAATCAGTTCTTCTTTTCGATCCGGACTCACCAAGAATTTCATGATGAATGTGTTAAATTTTTTTCTTTCGAATCTTTCGTGATAAGAAGAACGGCAGTCTTCGGCACAGCACAACCAAGGTTGGATAAGCAGGCAACAACTGATGGTCTCTCCAGCCCAGGGTATCATCTTTTATACCCATCGCAGGCGAGAACCCGACTTCGTGCATTCACCCCGTTCCTGATGACTGAGCAGAAAATATGAAATATTTGAAAAAAGAAAAAAGGATAATGAGAAGGAAGCCAACACCTTCTTCTCCCCCGTGCAGGACGTTGGCACAAAAGCCTTGCCTTCGGGGCATCGGCATTTATTTCCTCATCAAAAGGGGGGAGAGACGACTTTGATCAATATACGCTGTGGCAAAAAGAAATAATAATAGTTTCATGATTAAAACAAGTGAATGCCGGTTATCCATCTTGAATTCCGGGCGCTGCAAGTAGAAAGAAATCAACTGACGAAAACAAGCTTAAATCAAGCTAAAAATTTTGGGATCATCA